AGAGGGTCAGGGACTCCGAAAGCACGAAGAACAACCCAGAGCCCAGTCGTACTGATGGTATCATAGGCCTTGACCAGGTCAATAAAGCAGAGATGTAGGTCTTTTTGGAATTCCCTACACCTCTGCTGTAGCAGACGGACAGAAAATATGGCATCTGTGCAGGACCGCCCTTTCCTGAAACCGCACACATACACACACACATACACACATACACACACACATACAACAACAACCGCCATTCGCCACTAAGTGGCGGTGACGTCACCACGATGCTTGTGCCAGGCCAAGTGCACCTTGAGGCCACGTGAAGTGTCGAACGCCCGCTGGCAGGAGGTCACGGGGCAGACCCAGATGCCACGGGTCGACTGACCGAGATGACCGAGATGACTGGCTGATGCACCACCTGTGCCCCCTACTGTGCCTTCTCGACAGACCTGTTCTCCACCTGAGGATGGCTGCTTGCGTTGTGGCCGAAACGTCGTGAGAATTATTTTATTATGTTTTTTTATTTATTACTTTATTATTTCCATTCTACGTGACTTTACCGAAAGAACCAAGAAGATGAATCCCTGCAGTCACGAAAGCTTTAAATCGAAATGTAACCCCTTACTAGTTGGCTGTGTCGGGTGGTGGTGGGTTTTGACGACACATTGATAGCGGATGCGAGGAACGGGAAGGTGCAAACGGTTGGGGCGGGCGACCGAGAGAGCGGGAGGGAACACGCGGAGAGAGAACGGGTCCGAGGAGGGATCTGGAGCAAATAAGATGAACGGAGCGACGTAGCGAGAGTGGGGAGATGGGGCGAGATGGAAGGAGAGGGTGCGAGGTTGATCATCATAGAGAGATGCAGAGACGTGGTGCTGGTGGTGGGGGGTGATGGAGGGAGATGGGGGGAGACGGTGGAAGCTGTAAGGAGAGAGAGGGAGGGAGAGACGGTGAGTGGGAGGTGGAGATGGAGGGAGAGAGACGGTACGAGGTTGATCATCATAGAGAGATGCAGAGACGTGGTGGGGGGTGATGGAGGGAGACTGGGGGAGATGGGGGCAGAGAGAGGGAGGGGGGAGACGGTGAGTGGGAGGTGGAGATGGAGGGAGAGAGAGCTGGCGGGAGATGGGGGGAGAGCGCGCGCTGCGGATTTGGAGGCGCACGTGGTCCCGGCGCGGCCAATGAGAGCCGCCATAGAGGAGCGAGAGAGAGGAACTCTGCGCCTCGTGCATAGCGGGGGAGGAGTGGGGGGCGGGGGGGAGGAGGTGTGGGGGGAGGGGGGAGGAGGTGTGGGGGGAGGGGGGAGGAGGAGTGGGGGGGAGGGGGGGAAGAGTGGGGGGAGGGGGGAAGAGTGGGGGGGAGGGGGGAAGAGGTGGGGGGAGGGGAGAAGAGTGGGGGGAGGGGAGAAGAGTGGGGGGAGGGGAGGAGGGGGGAGTGGGGCGTAATGAAGGATGGAGGAAGGGAGAGGAGAGGGAGAAGGGGAGAGCGAGAGAGCGAGCGAGAGGTGGGGGTTTACATAAAGCAAAGTAAAAAAATGATGAACGAAGCAAAGTGCCGAATACACCGAGCATCTTCTTGTTTCCACTGATCGTAAGAAAAGAAAAAGAGGAGCGAGCAAGCTGCCGCCCTCGTCGCGATAGGACGGTGGATGAGGGCAGAGCGTTCACGAAGACTCGTCATAGAACTCCCACGCTCTCTCTCTCTCACGGACAACGCTACCCCCCCCTCCTACTCTGCCCCCCACCACCACCACCAGCTCACGTTTCTACGATTCTCAAGTCACCATTCGACGTCGTTAATGCTTCCCCCCACTCCCCCATCATCATCGTCGTCGTGGTTTGCACGTCGTGCAAGACGCTCGCAATCCGATGGTGTCGAACCGCCCATCGCAGACTCTCCCTCTGCCCCAAGCCGTTCGCGCACCCCACGCTCCTCCCGCCCGATGCATTCCCGCTCGTGTGTGCGCGTGTGTTTGTGTGTTTTGTTTTACATCTCAGTGTTTGTCTTCGGCTGCATGTCGCCTTCTCCAACCCCCCCCCCCCCGTGTCCTCTCTCTCTGCTTTACCGCTCTCGTCTCCCGCACCCCCCCCACCACCACTACCCCCCCCCCACCTCCAACTCCCCCCCCCCCCCCCACTCTCCACTTCTCTCTCCCACCATCTAACTCCATCCATCTCGCTCTGCTCCACTCTCTCTCGTGTACTCCCCTCCCCCATGTCCCTCCCTCTTCCCCATCTCCCTCCCTCTCCCCCATCTCCCTCCCTCTCCCCCATCTCCCTCCCTCTCCCCCATCTCCCTCCCTCTCCCCCATCTCCCTACCTCTCCCCCATCTCCCTCCCTCTCCCCCATCCCCCTACCTCTCCCCCATCTCCCTCCCTCTCCCCCATCCCCCTACCTCTCCCCCATCTCCCTCCCTCTCCCCCATCCCCCTACCTCTCCTCCATATCCCTACCTCTCCCCCATCTCCCTCCCTCTCCCCCATCTCCCTCCCTCTCCCCCATCTCCCTCCCTCTCCCCCATCTCCCTACCTCTCCCCCATCTCCCTCCCTCTCCCCCATCTCCCTCCCTCTCCTCCATCCCCCTACCTCTCCTCCATCTCCCTACCTCTCCCCCCATCTCCCTCCCTCTCCCCCATCTCCCTACCTCTCCCCCATCTCCCTCCTTCTCCCCCATCCCCCTACCTCTCCTCCATCTCCCTACCTCTCCCCCCATCTCCCTCCCTCTCCCCCATCTCCCTCCCTCTCCCCCATCTCCCCCCCCCCCCTCTCCCTCATCTACCTCTCGCTCCCTCTCTCCCATGTCTCTCCTCTCTCTCCCACCCCCACCATCTCTCCCCCATCTCTCTCCCACCCTCTCCCCCATCTCTCTCTCCCACCCCCACCATCTCTCCCCCATCTCTCTCCCACCCTCTCCCCCATCTCTCTCTCCCACCCCCACCATCTCTCCCCCATCTCTCTCCCACCCTCTCCCCCATCTCTCTCTCCCACCCCCACCATCTCTCCCCCATCTCTCTCCCACCCTCTCCCCATCTCTCTCTCCCACCCCCACCATCTCTCCCCCATCTCTCTCCCACCCTCTCCCCATCTCTCTCTCCCACCCCCACCATCTCTCCTCTCCCCCATCTCTCTCCCACCCTCTCCCCATCTCTCTCTCCCACCCCCACCATCTCTCGCCCCATCTCTCTCCCACCCTCTCCCCATCTCTCCTCTCCACCCCCACCATCTCTCCCCCATCTCTCTCCCACCCTCTCCCCATCTCTCTCTCCCACCCCACCATCTCTCCCCCATCTCTCTCCCACCCTCTCCCCATCTCTCTCTCCCACCCCCACCATCTCTCCCCCATCTCTCTCCCACCCTCTCCCCATCTCTCTCTCCCACCCCCACCATCTCTCCCCCATCTCTCTCCCACCCTCTCCCCATCTCTCTCCTCCCACCCCCACCATCTCGCCCCCATCTCTCTCCCACCCTCGTCCCCATCTCTCTCTCCCACCCCCACCATCTCTCCCCCATCTCTCTCCACCCTCTCCCCATCTCTCTCTCACTATCTCCCACCCCCACCATCTCTCCCCCATCTCTCTCCACCCTCTCCCCATCTCCTCTCTCCCACCCCCACCATCTCTCCCCCATCTCTCTTCCCACCCTCTCCCCATCTCTCTCTCCCACCCCCACCATCTCTCCCCCATCTCTCTCCCACCCTCTCCCCATCTCTCTCTCCCACCCCCACCATCTCTCCCCCATCTCTCTCTCCCCACCCCCACCATCTCTCCCCCATCTCTCTCCCACCCCTCTCCCCCATCTCTCTCTCCCCACCCCCACCATCTCTCCCCCATCTCTCTCCCACCCTCTCCCCATCTCTCTCTCCCACCCCCACCATCTCTCCCCCATCTCTCTCTCCCACCCTCTCCCCATCTCTCTCTCCCACCCCCACCATCTCTCCCCCATCTCTCTCTCCCACCCTCCTCCCCATCTCTCTCTCCCACCCCCACCATCTCTCCCCCATCTCTCTCCCACCCTCTCCCCCATCTCTCTCTCCCACCCCCACCATCTCTCCCCCCATCTCTCTCCCACCCTCTCCCCATCTCTCTCTCCCACCCCCACCATCTCCCCCCCCCCTCTCCCTCATCTACCTCTCGCTCCCTCTCCCCATGTCTCTCCTCTCTCTCCCACCCCCACCATCTCTCCCCCATCTCTCTCCCACCCTCTCCCCCTTCTCTCTCTCCCACCCCCACCATCTCTCCCCCATCTCTCTCCCACCCTCTCCCCATCTCTCTCTCCCACCCCCACCATCTCTCCCCCATCTCTCTCCCACCCTCTCCCCCATCTCTCTCTCCCACCCCCACCATCTCTCCCCCATCTCTCTCCCACCCTCTCCCCCATCTCTCTCTCCCACCCCCACCATCTCTCCCCCATCTCTCTCCCACCCTCTCCCCCATCTCTCTCTCCCACCCCCACCATCTCTCCCCCATCTCTCTCCCACCCTCTCCCCATCTCTCTCTCCCACCCCCACCATCTCCCCCCCCCCTCTCCCTCATCTACCTCTCGCTCCCTCTCCCCATGTCTCTCCTCTCTCTCCCACCCCCACCATCTCTCCCCATCTCTCTCCCACCCTCTCCCCATCTCTCTCTCCCACCCCCACCATCTCTCCCCCATCTCTCTCCCACCCTCTCCCCATCTCTCTCTCCCACCCCCACCATCTCTCCCCCATCTCTCTCCCACCCTCTCCCCATCTCTCTCTCCCACCCCCACCATCTCTCCCCCATCTCTCTCCCACCCTCTCCCCCATCTCTCTCTCCCACCCCCACCATCTCTCCCCCATCTCTCTCCCACCCTCTCCCCATCTCTCTCTCCCACCCCCACCATCTCTCCCCCATCTCTCTCCCACCCTCTCCCCATCTCTCTCTCCCACCCCCACCATCTCTCCCCCATCTCTCTCCCACCCTCTCCCCATCTCTCTCTCCCACCCCCACCATCTCTCGCTCTTTCTCCCCCCCCCCCGTCCCTCCCTCTCTCTCTATCTCCCCTCTCGCTCTCTCTCGCTCGCCGCTCTCCATCCCGCGGTCACCACACACAGTCGGTACCCTCTCTCCTGCTCACTCGGCTAAGATTCTGGTAGTCGCCTAGAGCTTACGTAACACACATCTCTCGCCAGCAGCACCACCATCAGCATCATCATCAGCAGCAGTATCGGCAGCATCATCATCAGCAGAAGCGTCGGCCCCCTCTCTAATCCTTTCCCACCACAAGCGTCACCATCGCCGTCATTAACTGCAACAACAACAGCAGCGGCAGCAGCAGCAGCATCGGGCGATCAGTAGCCACGGAGATAATACTCACGCCATAAGACTGACTGATAATACAATAGCCACAACCGCGTCCACCGCAACCACACTCATCCGCAGTCACCGCTCGCTCGCTCGCTCCAGCGATATCGACGGACGCCAACCAAAAACACAACCTGGATGGTGAAATCTCCGATAGCGCAGTCCAAGTGCGAAGATCAGACACAGCCAAGGCTGCAGCAGCAACAGCAACAGAATCATCGTCATCAGTAGCAGCGTCATAAACAGCTGCTGCTCCTGCTGCAGCGCAAACGACAGCATCATCGTCAACAGCACCATCATTCATCATCATCCTCAGCGGCGTCGGTAGCGCGCAACGCTAGCGGTAGCAGCAGCATCATCAACATCATCATCAATATCATCAGCAGCAGCAGCGTCAACATCATCAGCAGCAGCGTCAACATCATCAGCAGCAGCAGCGTCAACATCATCAGCAGCAGCAGCGTCAACATCATCATCAGCAGCATTATCAACATCATCATCATCAGCAGCATCATCAGCTGATCGTTGAGCTGCCAAGAAGGTGCATCGAGATGGATACGAGTTACCTGGTGTGCGGAGTGGCGTTCGTCTTCCTGCTGTTCTTCCAAGGTGAGTGCCACCTCGGGATGACAAGTGTACACACAAAGACAAAGATCCCCCGTATAGCCTGAACAGACTGTAGGGGCAAGTGCTGTTAGCGAGCACCTATGAAGGCCGGAACGGTACACGAGGGGGTGCGTGGCCAGCACCACGCCCGACCGCCTTTGTCTCCCTAGTGGCGATGTATACACACCGCACCAGGTACTCGTTTAAGGCTGAGTCGACCTAGGGGAGGCCCAGGACCGGTTCAGATAATCGTCACTGGTGTTAGCCGTGAGCGGGAATCGAACCCGGGTCGCCAGGTTCATAGCGCAGCGCGCTAACCGCTACACTGCCGCTCCCCAAGTGTACACACACGTACACACACACACACACGTGTGTGTGTGTACGTGTGCGTGTGTACGTGTGTGACCTGTACACGCATGAGTGTGTGTGTCTGTGTGTACGTGAGTCTTTGTCTATTCGCGGTCGTCATCTCAGTGAGTCAACCCATGGCACCTGAAGGGTCTGTCCCGTGACCTCCTGCTAGCAGCGAGCCACTTCACGTGGCCTCGAAGTGCACCTAGCATGGCACAAGCGCTGTGATGACGTCACCGCCGCTCAGTGTCGAATGGCGGTTGTTGTTGTTGTTGTGTGCGGAGTCTATCGGAGCGTCCTGCGCTACGAACCCGGTGACACGAGTTCGATTCTTGCTTGCTATGAATATCTTATTATCTGAACCGGTCCCGGGCCTTACATAGGTCGACTCGGCCTCAAATGAGTACCTGGTGCGGTGAGAAAAAAATATCGTCACTGGGGAGACAAAGGTGGTCGGGCGTGGTGATGGCCACCCACCCCCTCGTGTGCCGTTCCGTCCTTCATAGGTGCTCGCGAACAGCACTTGCCCCAACAGTTTGTTAAGGCTATACGGGGGATCTTTGTCTTTGCTTTTGGATATACATTATCGTGTGTGATGCAATGCATTGGATATATACATACACGTGTGTGTGTGATACAATGCATTGGATATACATACACGATGTATGTGTGATACAATGCATTGGATATACATACACGTGTGTGTGTGTGATGCAATGCATTGGATATACATACACGATGTATGTGTGATGCAATGCATTGGATATACATACACGTGTGTGTGTGATGCAATGCATTGGATATACATACACGTGTGTGTATGATACAATGCATTGGATATATACATACACGTGTGTGTGTGTGATACAATGCATTGGCTATACATACACGTGTGTGTGTGTGATGCAATGCATTGGCTATACATACACGTGTGTGTGTGTGTGATACAATGCATTGGCTATACATACACGTGTGTGTGTGATACAATGCATTGGATATATACATACACATGTGTGTGTGTGTGTGATACAATGCATTGGATATATACATACACGTGTGTGTGTGTGATACAATGCATTGGCTATACATACACGTGTGTGTGTGTGATGCAATGCATTGGCTATACATACACGTGTGTGTGTGTGATGCAATGCATTGGCTATACATACACGTGTGTGTGTGATACAATGCATTGGATATATACATACACGTGTGTGTGTTTGTGATACAATGCATTG